TGAATACACTTTGCCCATATCTCCTTGAAGTCATCATCATCTGGATAAAGGTCTTTCAGGAACTCAAAACCCACAATCTCATGTGTCAACATGACAAATAAACTAGCCCGTCGACTCAAGGCATCTGCGACTTGATTCATAACCCTTGATTTGTGGTGAATAGTAAAAGGAAACTTCTGAAGGAAAGTAGACCATCTTACATGCATGCTATCGAGGTGCTTTTCGCTCTTGATAAACTTTAAGGCTTGATGATCAGTATACAACACAAACTCTCTCTGTATCAAGTAATGTTCCCAATGCTTCAAAGCTCGAACCACTGCATAAAATTCTTGGTCATAAGTGCTCCACTTTTGCCGAGCTTCACTTAATTTTTTTGCTGAAAAAGGCCTTATGTTCTTGAGATAGGACAGCCCCGATGCCCACACCACTAGCATCACACTTTACCTCAAAGATCTTATCAAAATTGGCAAAGCCAGTGCTGGTGCAGTGCACAACTTTTCTTTGATCAACAAGAAGCTCTTTTCCGCATCATCACCTCACAGGAATTTTCCTTTCTTCATGCACTTTGTGATTGGTGCCACAATAGTGCTGAAACTTCGAATGAAACGCCTATAAAACGTAGCCAAACCATGGAAACTTCGAACATCAGTAACAGTCTTGGGTGTTGGCCACTCTTGGATGGCGCGAACCTTCTCTTGATCCACATGAATGCCATCTAAACTAACCACATAACCCAAGAATATCAAGTTACTTGTGAGGAAACTACACTTCTTGAGGTTAACGCATCACTTGCTTACCTCCAACGCTGTCAACACCTCCCGTAAATGGGCCATGTGGTCCTTCTTTGATTTACTGTAGATTAAGATGTCATCAAAATAAATGACGACAAATTTCCCAGTAAAAGGTCGTAATACCTGATGCATGACTTGCATAAAGGTGCTGGGAGCATTGGAAAGGCTGAATGGCATGACCAACCATTCATACAAACCATCCTTAGTCTTGAATGTTGTTTTCCATTCATCCCCAGGACGGATTCGAATTTGATGATACCCACTTCACAGATCGATATTTGAAAACCACTTTGATCCTTCTAGCATGTCCAACAAATCATCTAGTCGGGGAATGGGAAATCTGTACTTGATGGTAATCTTGTTAATGGCTCTGCTGTCTATACACATTCACCAACTTCCATCTTTCTTTGGCGTTTATAATACCGAAACAGCACATGGAATTAGGCTTTAACAAATAAGTCCCTTTTGCAGCAATTCTTCGACTTTCTCCCATAGGATCTCACTCTCTTTTGGACTCATTTTGTAGTGTGGTAGGTTTGGTAGACTTGCTCCTGGTATGAAATCAATCTGATACTGAATGTCCCTCATAGGTGGAAGTGTATCCGGCAACTCATCAGCAGTAAGCTCCTGGAATTCCTCCAACAATGGTTGAATTTTCTGAGGGATTGGTGTGGCTGTGTTCTCCTTGGCCACAGGTACCATTTTTGTCACAACCATAGCATATACCTCTTGCGAAATTTTCGCATCTGCCACGAACTCGGCCTTTGAACTGGTTATAGTGAGGAAAGACTTCGCTTCGACTTTCAGAGGCACTGTGTGTTGCTTTAAGGGACTCAGCAATTTTATGAGACCCCTAATTGAACACCTAAGCGGTGTCTCGCCCTCTAAATGTAACACCCGCATCAAATTGCCAAGGTCTGCCAAGTAATACATGACTAGCATCCATATCAACCACATCACATAATACATCAGATTTATAATGTTTGCTAATAGAAATAGGTACCTTACTTCAGTTATCTTGATAGTAGGTCCTTTTTTGATCTAGTCTATACTTTAGGGAGAGGGGTGTTGTTCAGGAGACAACTTCAGGTGTGCTACCAATTGTCTGGCCATAAAATTTTCATAGCTTCCATTGTCCACAATAAGGTCACACACCTTTTGATTTATGGTACAACAAGAGTGAAAAATACTGTGACGTTGACTGAGGTCCTCAGTTTTTGGTGCAAATAGAACCGTTTGAACTACACAGTTGACTTGTTCTCCTTTTTCTTTGGCGAATTCAACACCATCATACTGATCGCCCTCATATTCTGCATCTTCATCATCCCCAATTTCATTTGCTTCTTCAACTAAATTAACTATCCTTTCTGGGCACAAATTAGAGCGATGGCCAGGCTTGCCACATCTATAATACTTATCCGTTGTTGGTTTGGCATAAGGATTTGTGTTTCGAGGTGCCTCCCTACTACTTGATCCACTCATGTGGTTTCCTCCTCCACCAGCGGTACTCCTTTTCTGATTTACTGGACCTGTTGGTTGGGCAGCCTTTTTTCCTTTTTCTGTAGTAGGAAACAACAAATCAGGAAGGTTCTGACGATATCCAGAATAGGTTGTCTTGCGCTCTATTAGCTCGGCTTTGAAACCCATATTATATGCTTCATCCACAGTCCACACTACTGATAACCCCATCTTCTCTCGAATGGTTAATTTTAACCCATTGAGATACGGGGCTACATGCTGTCCTTCGGTCTCATTTAGATTATTGCGATCTGAAAGTCAGCAAAATTCAGTTATATAATCAAATACAGATCAGCTTCCTTGGGTGTTATTTTGGTACAACTGAAACAAGTATTGATCATAATCTGGTGGTAAAAATTTGTCCTGAAGGAGTTGTTTCATCTGACGCCAAGTCCATATAGATTCTTTCCCTTGTCGATGCCTATTTTTCTGCAATTGATCCACTATACCGCAACACCTCCTTTTAGTTTGTAAGCCACCAATTTCACCATCTTTGATTCTGGAACATCCATCATCTTGAAAAAGCGCTCCACCTCTGAAAGCCAACCAAGAAAATACTTAATATGTAGATTTCCATTGAACTGGGAAAAATCTATCTTCATTCGGTACTCATTGAACCCTTCTTGTTGTTGCCTTCTGGGTTGATAGTTGGCTGGAAGTGGTTTAAACTCTAGTTCAGACTCCTCCTTACTGTCAGATGTACAACGAAGGGGACGTCTAAAAGCATTCTGAACAGGTTGACCTCGGGCAAATCCTTCGGTGCGCACTCTGTTCTAGTTAACAGGTTGGCCTTGGGAAACTCCCTCAACATGGACCCTATCAACCACTGGTGGCCTGTTGTTGGCATTGAGATTCAGGCCAATAAGCAGATCACGAATTTCATTCAACTGCTCTTACTGTTTCTCATATGTTACCCACGGGGCCTCGACCTCACGATCATTGCCAGTAGGGTTTGCATGATCTACTCTGTCTTGTGCCATTGAGCCAGGTGACTCCTTGCTCTGATACCACTTGACGTAGCAGAATAAATCACACGAGGCTAGCTATCGATCTAGCAGACAAACAAAATCCTTGAATCCACAAGGAAGAAAAAAAAATTTCAAGAACTGAATTACATTGCATCAAAAGATGATTTGCCCTAAGGCATACATGCGTATTTATAATAAATTGAACTCTAATTAAATAAAGAAATAAGGAATTAGGATAATTCTTTGCTAGACACGAATATAAACAGAAAATTACCAAAAATAGAAAATATGACTTTAGTTCAAATCTGCATACTAGAAAACAATAGACAGCGCTAAAAATGGACTTCCCAAAATAAAGTTATTCCCAAAACGAAACTTTCCTAAAATGGCAAAATCGCTAATTTGAAAGCCTAAACAAAGGAATTTGGCTAAAATCCACTGTTCATCATCGTTGGGGATGGCAATGACTTCAATTTAAAACGCCATTTTCAATCAGACTATCAAATTTGAGACAATTCCGAGCTTGTCCCAAAAGTGTCGCTATTGCTCTCAATTTGATTTCTTTCTTGCCTTTTGTCGGTTCAATTGTTCCAAGAAGTCTTCGGCTACTTGTTCTACATCAACAAAGGAGATGTGTAATGTATAAGCGTGAGAGTACTCTCACTTTACAAAACTTTTGGAGTTGAGTTTTACCCGAGGCCATGTTAGATGGTAAGAGAGTTGACTTTTGGGGTTGAGTTGGGTAGGGTGCGTGTCTCAAGCCCTGCATGCTAGGTGTGACACAGATTGTGAAACAAAGTTCCACATTGCCCAAATACAAAGGGGATGTGTAGTGTACAAGTGTGAGGGCACCCCCACTTCACAAGTCACTTTTTGGGGTTGAATTCTACTAATACCATGTCACAATGATGACTGCATTTTCTTACCATATTTTGTTTTTCATGTGATGTATTACCGCTGCATTGGTAATGGATATGAGTGGTGGAACCCATTAAACCAATACAGTGCTGCCACATGGTAAACAACTTTTGATACATATATGTGGTCATCGTAGCATTATTGGTGCATTAATATATGCCAAGTCCACAAAATTCAATCTACACTTTAAATTTCAAACAAGCAAGTACACCAAAAAAAAATTGGAAGTTTTTAATACTAACTATTGAATAACATATCTTCAAATTTTCCAAGTTCCAAACCAATCCCTTGCTATTATAACTGAAACCAAAATCATAATAATTGTAAAAATGTCAAGCATTTACAAATTAAAAGTTTATCCATATAGACTATCCTTGATTTTGACATATGTTTAATTGTGTACCCGTCCTATTTTTAAAATTAAATATCTTTCCCTCAGCTGCCCCAACCACAATAAATTATTTAAAAAAAAAATCCCATCTAGGATTGTTCACTTTGTTGATTTCTCCGTGAACCATTTTTCAATGGGGAGAAGAAAAAGAACAAGAAACACAGAACTTCTCTCCTATGGAGAAACCGCCAAAGAGACTTCAAACTTTTCAATTGATACACCAAGCAATTTTGTTTACCTTTATTTTTACCGATACATATCATATACTGCATGATTTTGACCTGAATCATGCATATGAAGAGGTTTATGTTAATCAACATTTGTGCACTGATAAACAACTTTAAAACTGTTATATGATACGCTTTCTTTTTTTTTTTCTTTTTCCCTCTTTCTAAAAGTAAATGGTGGTTGTAGGTGCAATTGCTTTGATCCAGCTTCAAGAGGACATGAAACGTCAGCTCAGTGCAGAAGGAAACTACAGCGAGGAAGAACTTGAAGAGTACATGCAGTCTCATAAGAAGTTGATGGTTGATTCCCTTTGGAAGCTTAATGTAGCAGATATTGAAGCCACCCTTTCCCGTGTTTGTCAGATGGTAGTTCTTGTACTTAGTTGTTGCTTTTGGGTAGTGGTTTAGCTTTAGCACTGTGTTTGGCACCTAACCTTGTTTTATGGTAATATTTATGGTCTTTTATAGGTTCTTCAAGACAATAGTGCAAAGAAAGAGGAGCTCCGTGCTCGAGCAAAGGGGTTGAAAACTCTAGGTAAAATCTTTCAGGTATTATATCTTGCCCATTATTCTCTGTTTCTTCTATCAACTTAGATAGTACTGTCCCATTGATACTCATGACACCATGTCATTGATTAGAGAGTCAAGTCAACCAATGGGAATGAAAGTGAAGCTACACTAAACAATACCATCCATAAACTCGATGGAGGTGAACCAAATTTTGGGCCTTGTTCTCCCAGTTTGTCACCAAAGTCTTCAAATCCTGAAGAGGCATCTAATACTGCATTCGCATCGCAGGTACCTTTCTTTTTCTGCTAGAAATTGATCTTGCTTATCTTACCATACATTTTTAGGATCATTTGAGCACTTCAAGGTATTTCAATTTGTCAATACCAATCAATGGTAACCCTACAGTCACGTTAAAAGTTCTTAAAAAAATGCCAATGATGAGGTTCAAAACCTGTTCTGTTGAACCATCCTTTATACAGTTGATAGACCCCTTTTAGGGTGTGTCCTAATTTTTTGGACACTGATGTTGCATGAAATTGAATGAGACTGCTGGTTTAGTTATCATTATTGACCTTCCGTGAAGTTTGGACAAAATACAATAAACCCCACAATTTTGGCATAATTACATTGAGCTCCCTTAAGATTTAATTCACATAACACTTGGCCCCTTTTTCCTCAATAATTTGTTAGTTATATGGATGAAAAATAATGTTATCTCTTTTACACGAAAATGTATATTTTACGCATATCTACATTAGTTCTGGTCCATTTAATCTTAAAATGGAGGTTAAGTGTAATTATGTCAAAATTGTGAGGTTTATTATATTTTCTTCAAACCTTAGGGGAGGTCAGTGTAATTTACCCTTATATTTATCTTCTATCAAGTATCATATTGTTTGAGCAGCTTCTGGAAGGAAAAAAAATCAGGATTTTAAAATCAATCACCATAGACCTATGAAGCACGGACACCTCTCTGAGGGCTCCGTACCAGTGTCAGACACGTGTCGGACACGTGTCCGACACTCAGCAGAGAGTGTCCCTTTTTTTTTTTAATTTTTTTACATCCGGACACGTTTAGGACACGTTATAGACACGTTTGGGACGCGCGGTGGCAATTTCACAATTTACTAAATTTTTTTGGGGTCGATTTGAAAATAAGCAAAAACATATCAAAATTTGCCCTAATCATACTTTGAATCTACGTCGAATAGAAGAGAAACAGAAGAGAAAGGATAAGAGAGAGGACCTGCGATCTGCGATCAAAATTTGCCCTAATCTGTCGTCGGTCTGCAATCAAAATTTGCCCTAATCTGTCGTCGGTTTGCGATCTTCAGTCGAGCTTCTTCTTCTTCGATCTACGATCTTCAGTCGATCTTCTTCTTCGTTAAGGTACGACTCTTCTTCGATCTTCGTTGATCGCTCTCTCTCTCTCTCTCTCTCTCTCTCTCTCAACCCTCTTTCCTCAGTCAATCTTCTATGCCCCCTTCTGATTTCATTTTTTTCTTTTTTTCTTTTATTCTAATTCTAATTCTGATTTTATTTTTATTTTTTTATTTTTTTCTTTTATTCTGATTTTAATTTAATTTTTTCTTTTCTTTTATTTTTCTTTAATTCTGATTTTATTTTATTTTTTCTTTTCTTTTATTTTTTTTTTATATTCTGATTTTATTTTTTCTTTTCTATTATTTGAGGATATAATTTTAGTAATGTATGTTTATTAATTTTATTATAGGGACCAATTATTAATTCTGAAACAATGGCTACGGGTGGTAGTGTTATTTTGATTTTTTTATAGGGACCAATTATTATAGGGACCAATTATTAAATGTTTATTTTTTATAATTTTAATAGTGTTATGTTGTATATTTTATTACCTTTATTTGATTTCTTTTAATAATTTTATGACATATAATAAATTAAATTAATTATATATATTGAACGTGTCCCCAACGTGTCGTGTCCCCTATTTTTTGAAAATTTGTGTTTTTGCGTGTCCGTGTCGTGTCCGTATCGTGTCGCGTGTCCGTGTCCGTGCTTCACAGCCATAGACCCATCGAATTTCTTATTCTGGTTTCCCCCAGTATAGCCATGAATAACATGTTCATTGTCTAGAGCCTAGAGGAGGGGATGGATAAGCAGGAACATTGGATACCAAGAACAACTTTTCATGTTTGTGCAACCTAATCTAGTCTGGACATTGCGACTTTCAATATCAAAATTGGAAAGCCTTAAGCTGTTGTTATTTTTAATTTTATTATTAGTATTATTATTGCTATGATTATTAGTTGTAAAATGAGGAACCCCCCCATTCGTACTATGTATGACTGGGTACACTTTGGGTGCACACACCACACCACAAGACATGCGCACCAAGCTAGTCCAAGAAGCCTATGTAAGTAAACTTTGGAAATCAACTGCTGTGCCTTTTAAACTTCTGTTTTTTCATCAGTGATGAAGCTACATGAAACTATTAATTACCAGGTAGGAATAAGAAAGAAAAAATAGTCTTACTTGTATCTGTATGAGAATTGACTTTTCCTTTTCAGTTTATCTGTTTGAAAGAATAACAATGTAAGTTAACTGAGGGAGATTTAATAAAGGATTAGTCTGGGAACCCAGAAAATGGCAGTGTTTTTTAAGGCGAAAAGCGAACTGAGGCGACAAGGTCTCCTAACGCCTAAGCGCGAGGCTACGAGGCGAGGCGAGAGCTTCATCGAATCGTGGCGACCACAAAGGATATTTTTTTAAAATAAATAGTAGACAAAAATATAAATATTTTCAAGAACCATCATGCATTTATCATTCCAAATACTAAATATCCATAAACAACAGAAAATATCCAATTAAGGCAAATACAATCTACCAATCCAAAGGTTCTAAAAATCATCTTCAATATCAAGCAAAGGAACTTCTTCTTCATTATTATTGGCTTCATCATATCCCTCCGTATCTTCTTCCTCTCCCCCATCTGAAATTGACTCTTCCTCATCAATAAGTTGTAATCTAGGTCTAGCTGCTGATTTTGAAGTTGAACGACCCCTTTCTATTGCCCTTGTTGATCTAGTTCTTTGGCTACTTTCCTCAACTCCAGCAGCTCTAGCAACATCATCCCATGTCAAAGTATCATCCTCAAAGACAAGTTCCTCCTCCATCCCCCCAACCAACCACTCGTTACTTTCATCAATATTTGTCAAAGTGATGGGATCAATAGTGTCACGGGAATTGTATTGACGTCTCAATGCTCTATTATACTTGACAAATACTAAGTCATTCAGACGTTTTTGAGCTAACCTATTTCTCTTTTTGGTGTGAATCTGCAAAAATTCAAACCAAATAAAAATAGTCAAATTTTTATCTAGGTATTAATAAATTTATAGGTATTCATATTCACTACATTTAAAAATAGGTACTCACATGTTCAAACACACCCCAATTCTGCGCACATTCAGATGAACTACAAGTTAGACTAAGAATGTTGATGGCAAATGTTGGCAAATGTGGCGTTTCAGAACCATATGCACTCCACCAATCAGCTGTTAATTATAACTAATTAATTAGAAAGAATATTTAAAATATAAAAAACTAACTAAAATTACTTAAGTATAAAATATAGATCACCTGGTGCCCTTGTAGTTCTTTGTCTAATGGCCAAAGCCATCCCAAAGAGACCTTCAACTTTCTTATAGGTAGTCAACTCTGCGCAAACTTTATCTTGTCGCACTGTTTGGGACCAACCTTTGTATGCATTTATACAGGCCTGATATGACTAACTTATCTTTCTCAATATTCGGCTTTGCGTAAAAACACTCTGGGTTTAAATAATACCCAGCTGCATGCAAAGGCCTATGCAATTGAACATTCCATCTATTGTCAATTATTTCAAAAAACTCCTTGTACTTCTCTTCATTTCCATTAAATGATTTTGCAATGACTTTTTTAGCCCTGTCCATTGCCTCATAAATATATCCCATGGGAGGCTTTCTCTCACCATCAACCAATCGCAGCACACGAACAAGAGGACTTGATATTTTGAGAGCATAAAAAATAGTGTTCCAAAAAGAAAGCATTAATATGACTTGTGCTATCTTTTTACCCTGTGGTTTCTTCGCCCATTTGCTTGTGGTCCATTCCTCTGAAGTGAACATCTTCTTCAAGTTAGTTTGTTGTTAATGAATCCTTGATAAAGTTAGACAAGCAGTTGCAAATCGGGTTTTTGCTAGCTTGATCAAATCTTTGCACTGGGTAAATTGCCTCATCATATTCAACAAACCAGAGCGGTTGCCTTTTCAAATGTCTTGTTAAATGCACAACAATTGCCTTTTCAAATGTCTTGTTGAAGTTGAGAATTTTGAAAATGTCCTCCAACATCAAGTCCAAGCAATGAGCTGCACATGGTGTCCAATACAAATGTGGCCGCTTTGCCTCCAAAAACTTCCCTCTTACAAGTTAAAAAAAAAAAAGAACGAGTTTTTAATATGAGAATTGCATATTTATATTGTAAGTACTAAGTAATGTAATCTAAATTGCTAACCGGCCAACACATTTGCTGAGGCACTATCTGTATCAACTTGAACCACGTTGGCTTCACCAGTATGCTCCACAAAGTTGTCAAGCAATTCAAACATCTTATTTACATCCTTGGATAAGCTAGAAGCATCAACGGATTCAATAAACATTAATCCTCTTGGGCAATTAACCAAAAAATTAATTAATGCCCTGTTTCTTTTGTCCTTCCACCCATCGGCCATTAAAGAGCACCCATATGTTACCCGATTTTTTTTATGATCCTCCATGGTCTTATTAGCGTGGTCTACCTCTTTTTGCAAATAAGGAACCCGCATCTCATGGTAGCTTGGTGATTTCATGCCAGGACCATATTGCTCAAAAGCTTCAACCATCGGCCCAAAACTTTTGTAGTTCACTACATTGAAAGCTATAACCCATATCATACATTCACCTCGAAAACCAAACAAGAGCCCGATCTCTCAACACCTTCTTGTTAGGATCATTATCATCAATTCTTGTTTGCTTCCCCTTGGTTTTATGATTTTGCACTGCAACTTTCGTGAAAAATCTAGAAATCTCTTAGATGTTGATTTGTGATTATGTATCAATTTTAAGCAGTATATAACAATCCCAATCAAACAATCAAGACAAATCGACACGACGATTTTATGTGAAAAAATCACAATTGGACACCTCCAATTGTGATAAAAAAAACCACGGGCAACAGTCACAAAACAATCCACTAAGAAGATATAAAGGAATTACACAGGTATACTCTCAATTACCTAGCGAATCCACGCCCGAATTGAACCAACCTCTATGTGTCTCTTCCAATCCCGCCTTCACCTCAGAATTGTCTTGACGATGAGCCACTCCAGAATCCACCAAAGCTTCAGGCTCGAATTCTTCAGAATCCACCGAAGAACAACTCTCTCTTGTGTAGAACAAACAAATAATCCTTTGATGTATACTCTTTAAACCATGAGTTGAATACTCAATCAAAACATCAAAGAAATCTAGCAAAATAACCCCAGATATAAACCTTAGAACCCAAAAAGAAGATCTGGAGAAGTAATCGTAGATTTGGAGCAACTTGCGAATTTATAGAATCTGAAATCGCGAGGTCCGCTCGAGCGTGGGAATTGACGCTTGAGCGGGGACACTATATGAAATGCTCCAAACAGGATGTATGCTCGAGCGGGGAAAAGTATTAACATCACAAACTTCTCTGCAAGGCACAATTCGAGTTGGATTCGCATCTAAACAATCATAGCCTTACTGAAATAAAAAAGTGTGAAAACAAATACAACTTAAAGGAGTTTTGTCAAATGAAATTGCCAAGAATAAAAACCTAACATTCCGGATTAGGGGTGAAGTACGCATCCATGGGTCCCTTTTTCTTTGGTTGTTTGGAAGCAACTGATTTAGAGGAGCTATTTCCTTGTTCTCGATGGGTAGAACCTTCAGTACAAACATACCTTTTACCATGTTGATTTATCTAAAAAATTTCATTATCATCATTTTCATCATCATCCATTTCATCAAAATCAGGAACCATCCTCAATTGCACTTGTGATTGACTTTTTTGAGACATATAGTCTTTAATCTCATCTTTGACATGAGATGGACATTTTTTACAAGCAACAACATTTTTATAACGACCAGCAAGATTTTGCTTGACTCGGTAAACACCGCCATTCATTTCTTTGTTACAAAAGTTGCAAATGAACTTTAAAAGGTTTTGTGGATTTACCATCCATGCATATTGCCATGCCGGGTCGTTTTTACTGTCACTCGACTTCGACATCTAATTCTAACCAACCAAGCAATTCAATGTTAAGAAACGAAGAAACAATTGAAGTGCAAAGAAAAAAACAGTTTCAGCATAAAGAAATTAAAGAACAACATATTTTTAGCAGAGGTAATCATGGAAAAATAGTGTTTCAGCAAAATTAATTGAAATTTTTTCAGCAAAATAATTATACAATTAACACAGCAAAATAATTGTAAAATAACACAACAAAATAATTAAACAATTGTAAAATCAATTTAGTAAAATTAATTGAAAAAAATTTCAGCAAAATAAATAAGAAGAGAAACAAAACAAGAACCAAGGAAGAAAAAATAGAGGGGGCGGGGAAGGGCTTGTCGACAAGAAGGAAAAAAGAAGAAGACAAAAATAGAGTTCTTCAAAGCAGACAAAAAAAAAAAAGATAAAGAAAGGAAGAAGAAAAGAAGAGGCCTGTTGTAAAAAAAAGGAGTTTGAAGAAGAAGAAAACAAGACGAAAGGAAGAAGTAGTAGGAGAAGATGAAGAGAAGAACGGAAGAAGACTCACCTCCTTTTTCAACTGGAATGATGTCGGAACGATGTCAAAAGAAAGGAAGAAGAAGAAGTAGCAGGTAATCAACGAGGTTCTTCGAAGCAATTGTCGACTGGAACGATATTGACTAGGGTTTCGACTTCTTATTTAGTAGAAAGCAATTATAAAGTGCAACGCATGTCCACAAATAGCACGAAAGTCATTCAAATCAAGGGCCCAGATCTGTCGAACTGAAAACAGACAAAAACTAGTGAAGCAGTTGAGATGAGTGTGGAGGCAGGGGTAAAGGTGCTCGGGGTCAGAGCAGCGAGTCCCAGGCAGAGGAGACCTCCCCTTCCTTGGAGCCGGTTTTGAGTGGCGACGATGTTGAGACCAGCGGCACTGAGGAGGCAGTGAGTCAACGCTCTGAGTCCGAGAGCGAGGATGATGAAGCCTGTTTGGGGTTCGGTCGCGAGGAGGATGCCGAGGCCGGCTCTGAGTCAAAGAGTGGAGATAGCGATGCCAGCTTTGGGTCGGAGTCTAATTCTGATAGCGGTGTTGATGGAGACAGTGCCCCTGAGTCCCCTCCGAGGAAGAGAATGAAAAGGGCCTCTTGAGCTTGATGCGACAACGATTCGCATCACCTCTCGCTTCATCGCCTAAGCCTCGCTTCATGTGCTTCGACTTCGCTTCACCATTTCGCCTCGCCTCAGTGGGTATGAAGCGCTATAGGACCACATCGCATCACCTCGCTTAGCGCTTAGGCGAGCGCTTAGTCGCGCCTCTGATAACACTGGAAAATGGGTACCCAAAATTTACCTAGAGAGCAGATCAGTGGTAGAGATTGAATGAGTGTATAGTAGGGTCCATATATATAATAAATCTTAGGGTAAACTACCAATAAGACCTAATAGTTAGACTTAATTCCCATTAAGTCCTATTGAAAATAAGTCCTAGTACAATCATCATTAAAAATAATTTTTTGTGACGATTTCTTATATATGTTGCTAAAAATTGACAATTAGTGACTTTTTTTTTTTTGGTCACGGTTTTTATAAATTGTTGCTAAAATTTACAGTTAGTAACTTCTTTTGTGGCGAATTTTTCAAACTGTCACTGAAAGTTGAAAATTAGTGACATTTGTTTTGACGATTTTTTTGAACTGTCGATAAAACTTATAATTTTTGACTTTTTTGTGATAAAATTATCAAACTTGTCACTGAAAATTAACAATTAGTGACTTTTTAATAGTGTATGATGAAAAATGTCATTAATTATCATAGGACCTATTGGACAATAAGTCTACTTAGTAGGACTTACACGTAAATCTCCCTAAATCTTAACCACATGTTGTAAATTCTGGGTATATAATTGTGGGTTTGTAGCATGACTCGTTAATAAAACCTATTGTTCTTGTGCTCTCTCTCTCTCTCTCTCTCTCAATTATAAATTATAAACAAGTCATAGATTTGGAATATTAAGGTGTTGCAACTATGAAGGTGGTATCTCGAAATTTTAAATTATAAACAAGTCATAGATTTGGAATATTGAAGTTATTGCAACTAGGAATATGGGACATGCGTTTGAGTATGCAACTTAGAGTATGCTATAAAGGAAAAGTCGATGAAACATTACTGCATTAAGGGAAAAATATGCATCTAAGTTTTTCTTTTATAATCTGTTCATTTTATATGTTTATGTTCTTCTGTGTTGTTAATATTCATGTTTTTATTCTTCAATTGTTGGATGTTCTAGAGCCCATATGTGGAGGCGCCACAATTTGCAGATGCCCAATTTAACTGTAACTTCCCAATGCCAACGGCACCACCTGGTGTGCAGAGACATTCATAAATATGCAGGAGTGAGGGATTATTGTGTATTTTGTGAACCAGTTAGCATAGCATATGTTGTATGTACCAGTTTTATCCATGTCCGTGATGAAGGTAAGAGGAGAGGCGTGGGTGCTTTTTGATTTGTTGGATGTGTTTGCATACATATGTATGATTGATATAACACACCCCCACTTTATTGAGTTGTTATTGTGTGTATTTATGGAAGATGGAAACATACAGACAAAATTGGTTGGGGGGGTGGGTGTTTCTTGAGTATAGTAACATACAGAAAAAATATAATGAATGATTTTATGGGTGGGGGGGGGGGGTATAGTGTTTTTCATAAGTACTAGTCTGGCTGATATAAGGCTGCCTTGTAATTTGAATGTCGCATTTTATTTAAAGTTGGTGTCTTTGCAATTTCATTTTGCAGTTGGAACATTTTAGGCTGAAGGATTTACTTGCCCTTTTTCATTTACTGAAGATTTAATAGGCAAATTGCTAACTTGTAGACAATAAAAGTTTGATGTCACCAAGAAATGCTGCAACACCAAAACGGCTTCTGAAATATGGCGCTTTAATCTGGCTTGCATTATTCCATGTCATGTGTGCGAAGGGTACACAGATAGGAATGGGTTATTTTAAGCGCGAACGATATTGACTAGGGTTTCGACTTCTTATTTAGTAGAAAGCAACACACCGCCCACACTCTTCTTTATATTTATTTTGAGGGGGGGGTGTTGGCGCGGAAATTATTGATCTTCTAAAAAATGTAGTCTGAAAAGTAAGATTTGTATCAAACCAAGTAAGATATGTTTGAAAGCCTGTCATCCAATTGATGTTGTCTCGTTGCTACTGCCCAACTTTATCTCCGCTGCTGCTGTATTTTGGGCACCACTGGAAGCTAGAGTTGAGGAGGATGTACATCTACAATAGTATGAGAGAAGGTTAGAGAGAGGAGAGAATTATTGTAAGTGTCGAAAATTTAAAAATTTATATCGAAATCGGCGGAGAAAACTTTCAAACTTTTATTTTAGACAAAAAGTTTAGATTTACACTCTAAAGTTATAGATCTCTACTTTAGGAGTGTAAATCTATACTTTAGAAGTGTAAAGAGAGTCAATGAAATATTGTCGGAGTGTCGCTAAAGCACCGAGAAATCTCTCTAGAACTTTTTTCCTTAAATACAATAATACTTAAATGATCATATTTATATATTTTGTTTATTATATTTTGTGTCATGATTGCATTGTTACCAATAAAACACATAAATTTTCATCGAAAAAAATTATTATGTAATTTTAAATTTATTTATACCAGTATAAAAAAGTTAATATTATTATTAATCGAACATTTTTTATCAATATAATTGAGAACAAAAATGTAATCGAATATATTTTGTTTACATAAGTTTAACAAATATAGTAATTATAATTATGTTTTTGTTTACTATATGAAATTATTATAGTTGTCACTTTTTATAATATATATCTATATTATATATAGCGCGAATAAGTCAGTCCTAAAACTTTTTTTCTCCTAAGTATCTATTTTTCTATTTAAAATAAAAAATTAGATAAAGGAAAGAATTTTAAACTTTGAACCAAAGGTTTGACAAAAAGAATCTTACCAAATATTAACAAATAATATATAGTCTGCTAGTGTATATATATATATATCAGTTATGCTACAAATATTAATAAGTATACTAAGGTCTCGTTTGGAAATTTTTCTTTTTAGTCAAAAAGTTACTAAATTAGTTAAAAAATCAACAACTCATACAAAACAGTTAAAGATTCTCTTTTCATTTTATTTTTTTGCATATCTTTTCGTAAAAAGTCAAAAAATCATCCCAAACATATTAGTTTTTTTAAACTCATATTTTAGTCAAATAGTCAAAAAGTTACTAAATTAGCCTGTTCCCAAACGAGGTGTAAATAACACACCTACTAAGACATAAGACATAAGACATACTTGTGGGTTTCACCACTTAACATGGATCCCACCTAATATTGTATCTAGATGGTGTGTTAGTTGGTACATTAGTTAGTGTTCCAAACTTTACTCCATGTATAAACATCTATGATGGGCTCAACATCAAAACCTTAAGTAATATTTTTCTCAATAAATATGATCAAGTAACTTGTTATAAAATCATCTTTCATCCTGTTTATGCAGTTTAGTTTTGAAAATTTTTATAGTTGAAAATCTATGAGTAAAATGATAAATCCGTTTCAATAATCAGTATTAACTTTTATGAACTCATTTTAAAGAATGCCGTGTTGAATGTAAACAATATTTTTTATTTCCAGACTATTCCTATTTATAGAGAATAAATAAAAAAGAATAAATGCAAAATAAGGTGCATAAGCAAATTAAAACATAAATAACATATGAACAAAAAAATAAAATAGTAACAAATAAGAATAAATAAAAGAATATAAGTAACTCTAAATAATACAAAAATATAACAAATAGAATAGATCAATGTTGGATAAAATTTGATTTCAAAACTATTTTTAAAATTTTATAATATAAATAATTTAGGGGTGTGAATCCATATGATTTAGAGGTTGTGAACTACTATAATTTCGGGGGTGCCAAGTATTGTAATTTAAAATTATCTTACGAATTATTAGTATAATATATATAATTTTTACAAAAATAATGTTATTATTGTACTAAATAATATCATAAGACCTAAGGTTTGACAAAAAGAATCTTACCAAATATTAACAAATAATATATAGTCTGCTAGTGTGTGTATATATATATATATATATCAGTTATGCTACAAATACTAATAAGTAAACTAAATAACACACCAACTAACATAAGACATACTTGTGGGTTTCACCACTTAATATGGATCCCACCTAGTATTGTATGTAGATGGTGTGTTAGTTGGTACATTAGTTAGTGTTCCTAATTTTACTCCATGTGTAAACATCTATGATGGGCTCAACATCAAAACCTTAAGTAATATTTTTCTCAATAAATATGATCAATATGATCAAGTAACTTGTTATAAAATTATCTTTCATCCTGTTTATGTAGTTTAGTTTTGAAAATTTTTATAGTTGAAAATCTATGAGTAAAATGATAAATCTGTTTCAATAATCAGTATTAACTTTTATGAACTCATTTTAAAGAATGCCGTGTTGAATGTAAACAACATTTTTTATTTCTAGACTATTCCTATTTATAGAGAATAAATAAAAAAGAATAAATGCAAAATAAGGTGCATAAGCAAATTAAAACATAAATAACATATGAACAAAAAAATAAAATAGTAACAAATAAGAATAAATAAAAGAATATACGTAAAATTTGATTTCAAAACTATTTGAATAATACAAAAATATAACAAATAGAATAGATCAATGTTGGATAAAATTTGATTTCAAAACTATTTTTAAAATTTTATAATATAAATAATTTAGGGGTGTGAATCCATATGATTTAGAGGTTGTGAACTACTATAATTTCGGGGGTGCCAAGTATTGTAATTTAAAATTATCTTACGAATTATTAGTATAATATATATAATTTTTACAAAAATAATGTTATTATTGTACTAAATAATATCATAAGCAAAACATAATAGATAAATGTAGCCATGGTATAAATTTACACGAAGCAACTAATTTTATGACTTAAAAATTCAAAAATTAAGCAAAATAAATTGAGTCTTTCAACTTCAATATATTAAGGTCCCGTTTGTTTTCAGAGGTAGAATAGAGGAGATTGAGAGTGAGGGGATTGATAGTGAGGGGATTAAGTAGAATTGTATTTATTTTGATGATAGTTATTAGTGTATGAATTGTTAAATTATTACTATCTAAAAGAAACATAAAATATTAAAATGAATAAAATTATGATTTTTACTTAACAAAAAATACAAAAACATTAAACATTAATGTTAAAATAAAATGCTCAACATGTAAAAAAAAAAAAAAAAACCTAAACTGGAGGACTGATTTCCCAATACCATCTTCATCTACCAAGGCCCATCCTAATCTCATGAAATTATGAATCCCCTCTGCATCTCTCAAAACAAACACAATATATAGTGGGTCCCACCACTATCTCAATCTCATTCTCACCTTTGTCTCTCAAAACAAATGAGGCCTAACTGCGTATTGTAATCCTAATAGACTAGCAATCAACATGTGTTACTCTCATAGATAAAACTTGATAAATCCACATTCCTACCTGTATAAGTCATTGAGGACACGAATGGTTTTATTAGGGGCATAAAGATATTTGTTGGTACAAAGGTCTACTAAGGGTATTTCATAACTACCATCTATTTGTGCAAATTTTTTTATCTATCTGTTCAATTTTTTAAACCTATATATCTAAATTATTTTAATCTATATTTCTCAATTTTTTTTTAATGTATTTGTACATTTTTTTAACCTATCTATCCAAATTATTTTAACTTATATTTTTCAATAATTTTAACCTATCTATCTGAGAAGGGAGTTTTGATCGCGCAAGGGCAGAGCTGTTAGCAAGATGGGCCTAGCGCGGTCCATTACCTTGCGGTAAGCTGGGCCAGACGAATTGATTAACTTTGCTATGGGGTTTACCGAGCTCCACTATCTCAGCCGTAGTGTTCTATTGATGTACCAAGTAGGTCTAACAGAGTTGTGGTGGTCCAAGCAGAGTGGGACCATGGTATAAACCAAAGGCGAGTTTGGCTGGCCTGCCTGAGCTGTGGTCGACCAGCTGGACGTCTCAGGGACAGGATGGTTGGTGGAGGCCGGTCTTGGAATGGACAGCTACGCGTTGGATTGTGGATAGCTCGACAGGAGCTGCCACGTGGCCTAATTGAAGAGCAGAGGGAAGAATCCGTTGTTTGTGCATGTCAATACCGTTTGGTTGTTTTGTCGATACTATTTGGTAGTATTATCGTGCGCACACGTGTAAGATGGAGAAAGGATAGTACATCCACGTACCCAGGAGAGGATGAGCAAGGAAGCGTACACAAAAACTATATAAGCCCTATGGCGCCTCCATGTAATAAGTCTGAAATATTTTGATATAGAGTTATCTTCTTTTTTGTCTTCTTCTCTATCTCTCTCTCTTTGAGTGCTAACTTGATCGTCGGAGGGATTTTTCGGCAGCACACCAGTCGGACAGCTCATTATCGTTGTGTTTTCAAGTTCACTGACGTTATTCAGAGACGTGAGTAGCTTAGACATAAGGAGTATGGAAAC